TGCTAAGCATTAGGATTTTCCAGGTTTAAACAAAATTCTTTGAGGTAAATTATTTTCTATGAACATTTTAACCTTTTGTGGGGGAAGTACCAGAATGAGTGGACCGATGTTGCCTACTTCCGAACTCGATCTAAATTTGACAATAATATTACGATGTACCAAGTTTGGATCAAACCGGATGCTGCTTTCGTGAGTTATCGTGTGCACCAGCCAGACACCCTTCGATTGACTCCAAATGTCCTGAAATAGATGATGTCAAAAGAGAACTAAAATTGTTATTTCGATAAGGCACGTTTTGACCGTATCAAATGATATATGATATAATACCCAGGGTCCGGTTGCCCCTCCGAAATGGTAAATTTTTATATATTTTTTCTAGAGAATCTCATTTTTTGTTGGTGGGCTCCCTCGAAATTGTTTCAACATGGATTTCTGGAATTTCCATATGAGTATGACTTCAGGTACTGAAACTTTTTCCATGAAAACATGTTGTTAACTTTTTCCAATTTGGAGATAACTCAGTATTTTTGTCACAAAGTCACATTTTTCGACATGCCATATCTCATTACTGCCCCAAAAATTGTATGCCAATGAAAAAAACCCAAAACTCCAACAACTACAATATCCATGAAATTGCATCACTACACACACAACCACACTTCAAAAATCAAAAATTCACACCAGCCTGGATTCAGCGGACCATAAAATAATCGCCTCAAGAATTTGGACAAATTCAAGCCTTGTCGATTTCTTCTCTTTTTTAGTTTGGCTTTTTCTTCTAATTCTAACGAACAAATATTTTTGAACATGAAATATTTGAAATTCTTAACAAAATTAAGTTGAGCGTTTTATTTGGGCCAAACATGGCCAAGTAGTAATAGAAAACCATAATGATGATGATGAGGTGGTGGTGGAGGTTTAACAACAATTGGCGTAGAATTTTCATTTGCAGTGTAGCGAATTTTTTTCGTTGCTTTTATTGTTGTTATCAGGCGATTGAGTTCAAGTTAATTCACCTTTTGGCCAAAATAGTTGTTGCAATGACTGTTGCTGTTGTCTATCATGAATCATTGTGAGAGATTTTTATTTTGTTTTCAATTTTCAGTTTATTCAGCCAACCAGCCATCCATCAATGAAGGCGAGGCGATGAGGAGGAAGGGGGAAAAGTTGGGAAAATTGAAAAATCGTATAGCTTCACATAGTATATGTTGTTGTTGTTATTGTTTGAGTTGAATTTTGAAATGTAAGTAAATTCTCAGTGGTTGTAGTGATTTTTGGGAGGTTAGCTTGACTTTATGCCATAATGTTTCGATTCGGCTTCGAATGAGTCAAATGTTGATTGGAAAATGGAAAAGGAATGACCAAATCATAGAGGAGCTGGGACAATTAATAAAATACTGTTGGATTTTGGAAAATATTTATACTTGGGTCAACAGATTTAAGGTGTTGTTTTCAAATAATAAATAAAAAAAATAAATAAAAAAAATAGAAAAGTAAATAAATTAATAGAATGAATATATAAATAAAAAAATCAATCAATCAATAAATAAAAAATTAATAAATAATTATACGAATTAATTAATAAGCCATTTATGTATATATAAAAATAGTGAAATAAATGACTGACCGAGAAGTAACGCCCAGATGAAACGGCTGAAGCTAGAATCTTGAAATTTTGCACTGGGATCAGTATTGGTGTGTAGAAATTCGTACCAAAAGAGTACGAAAAGTACTAAAAATTAAATACTTTGTATTGTTCTGAAAATTGAAATGAGAGAGAGAAATAAGGGTTTTTGAAAGTTCGAGCATCAAGTACTCGAAAAGTCCTAAAATGGTACTAAATTTCTAAAATAGTACCATTTGGTAATATGAAAACGAATCACAATCAAGCACAGTTTTGCTCATTTTCTCTAGAGAGCGAAACATGCTCGCGAGTAGGATTGCTAGAAGAGTGGCAGTTTTTTACGGAGTCTGCTCTCAACACTCCTGTTTTGTGTGGGAGCACTCCCTAGTCACTCCTGTTTTGAAAAATGAGAATGGAAGCAGAATATCTCAAAATAGAGGAAAAGTTTGCTCAAAGAGTGAAAATTAGTGGGGTCCGAGGAGAAGAGGGAATGTGATCTTGTCCAGAAAAATACACGTATACAGAAATGAAACAATGGTATAACAAAATCTATAGGAACGCTCGGTAAGAGTAGATTCTGCTCGATTTTAAACGAATTTTGCTCCCACTCAATAAAGAGGAAATTATGCTCACTCATATTCAAGCGACATCGAAAAATTTAGTTTGCTTGATTTTAGTTTGCTCTTAGGAGGGCACGCACTCGAATTCGACTGAGTTACAACAACAAAATGAAATGAACAAATTCGAGGAAGTTTTTCTGAGGTCTGGAACGGATAGAACAAAAGCAGGAAATTTGGTATGAATATATGTTATAAGTGCTTGAAATCGGAACAAATTTTCATTTGTAGTCTGGAAATATGGAGGTGATTTCAATGTGTACTATAATTGTACGAAAAGTCCGGAATGGTATTATATTCGGAGGTCTGCAACGGATAGAGCTAAAAACAAGAAATTTGGTATGAAAATTAAGATCGGAAAGTAAGTTTGATATATAAAGGTAGTTTTGGAAATTGTACTATGTGTGCGTATTGTACTAAATGGTACTTAATGGGAACCTTTTGGTTTAGGATGAACGGTTGACTCCGGAATTTTGAAATATTGTATTGGGGTCCCCGTTGGCAGTACAAAGAGAGGAGATTTTGGAAATATGTACTACAAGTGCACGAAATAGTACTAAATAGTACAATGTTTGGTAAAATTTGGTTTTGGATACTTGAAATCTGAAATTTGGTGTTAGGTTTACTGTTCATTTGTAGCCAGGGCATATGGAGCTGGTTTCGGAAATGTTTACAAAAATTGTACCAAAAGTGTTGGTACGATATTTGGTATTGAGTAAAGGAATAGAGATAAAATTCTGAAATTTGAAATTTAGATTACTGATGGTATCTGAGGTTAAGATACGAAGGTGGGAAAGAGATAAAATTGCACAATTTGATATTTTGTATCTAGTATTAAGACATGGAGACGGTTCTAAAACTGTGTACAACATTGTACTAAAAGTTGTAAATGGTACTAAATTTTGTATTGAGTGAAGGAATAAGTCTGAAATCCTCAAATTTGATATTGAGGTCTCTGTTTGTAGCTAAAATTGAAATATGGAGATGCTTTGGGAAATGTGTACTATAACTGTTCGAAAAGTACTAAGTGGTACTAAATTTGGTTTTGGGTGAAGGCAAATAGTTGAAAATCTTGAAATTTCATATGGATGTCACTCTTGGTATTTGGGTTTGGAGGCGGTTTTCGAAATGTATACTACTGGTTGAGACAAGGAGCTGGTTCTGGAAGTGCGATTTATTATTGCACGAATAGTACTAAATTGGCTATTGATTGAAGGGATAAAGATGGAATTTCGAAATTTGATATTGAGGCCTCTGTTGATATCTGGGATTGAGATATGGAGGTGTTTTTTAAATTGTACGAGAAGTATTAAAGGGTACTCAATTTGGTATTGGATGAAGGGATGGAGCTGAAATTCTTACATTTTGATATCGATGTTACTGTTGGTGTCTGTGGGTATGGAGGTGGTTATGGAAATATGTACTGGAATTGTACGAAAAGTACTAAATTATACTAAAAGGTTATTGACTAATGGATATCTCTAAATTTGATATTGAGGTCTCGTTGTTATCTGGGATTGAGATATGGAGGCGGCTTTGAAAATGGTAAGAAAAGTACTAAATGGCACTCAATTTGATATTGGGTAAAGGGATAGAGCTGGAATCCTGAAATTTGGCATATATGGTGTCTGTGGTTAAGATATGGAGGTGGATTTAGAAATGAGTACTATAATTGTACAAAAAGTATTGAATGGTTCTAAAAGGGTATTGGCTGAAGGGAATCCGGAAATTTGATATTGAGGTCTCCGTTGGTATCCGGGATTGAGATATGGAGGTGGTTTGGAAATCGTACGAAAAGTACTAAATGGTATTGAATTTGATATTGGGTAAAGATATAGAGTTGTAATCCTGAAAATTTGATATGGATGTCACTGTTGGCCTCTGTATTTGAGAGAAGGATGTGGTACTATAATTTACTAAATGGTACAAAATGTGGTACTGGAAATTAAATAGCTGAAATACAAAAATTTGATATTAAGGTCACTGTTGGTCTCTGAGGTTGAAATATGGAGTTTGTTTTGAATATTCGTACTAAATGTTACTACATTTGGTAGTTGGTGGAGCGATAGAGCTGAGATTCTGAAATCTGATATTGAGATCACAATGGGGACGTTAAAATAATTTTGGAAAGAAAAATTGGGTGTGGGTCCATTGTGCAATGGTTCTACTAATATCCTTCTAGGTAAACTTCAAAATAAACGATTTCGAAGACTTTTTTAAATTTTTCTATTATTCTTTCCGAAAACAGAAAAACTTGAAAAAATATATGTAGAACCTTGAAAGTTTGAAAATTTTGTACGATGTATGATTGATTAAAAATATTTGTAAAACTGAATTTTGAGTACTAAGAAGGCCTAACACGAACTATTTGGAAAGGATCAAAAATTTCAAGGCGGACTTTTCGCTGATGAAGTATCGGGCACTTGCTAGTCTATTATATTTGTTCAAATTGACTCATGATCTCATATTGATATTTTTTAGCCAATTATTTTTGTTCAAATTCAAAATGTCAGCAGAACCAAAAATGGGAACAACGTTGTTACTTTTTTTTAAATCCAAAATAAAGTTGTTTACCATTTTTTATTTATTTCTATTCTTGGAAACCGGAAATATTATCAAGTGTTTTTTCGAATTACTTTTCTGGCGCCATTTTCTAGGTAGAGGGGGTCGGGGATTTCCTTCTTTGACATTTTTGGTTTTTTTTTATTTCCATTTTGTAAATATTCAAATATTTAATTAAAATAATAAAAAACAATTACCTTTACATAACCATACGGTGAGGGTGGCCGCTTCGTGGGCAGTGTCAGGGAGTAGGACTTTTGTAAATAGGAATGTTGGATGCCCTCGTGTTTGGCCGAAACTTTGTAGGTGTGACGCCAACCGAAAATGCCCGTCAATTTGTTGGTCAATGCCGGGCATTTTGGTGGTAGATCGAACATAATGATGATCGTAATGGTGGATGGTTTTATTTTTATTCAGATGTTGTTAAGTTAGGAAAAAAATTTAAATTTGGATTTCTTTGGTTGGTTGGAGATTGTGTTGTGATGTCGTTCTTTGTTTAATAAATAAATTTATTAAATAATACTTTTTTTAATTGTAGATTCTTTCCTTTCGTTTTTGTGTTTAATTTAAATGGTTTATTTTTTCCCATTTAATTAAGTCATTTTTTCTTTGGAATTTTTATTATTTTTCTCATGGTGTCTTATTTTTTGTTTTTATTTTTTAATTCATTTTTCGATTTCTTTAGAGAGTTGTGAGTTGGTTCGAGGTGTCATTTTTTTCTCTTCGTTTATTTTTCTGTTTTTATCTATGAAATTAATTTATTAAATTTATTTTCATATTTCAATTAAATTTGCGGTTTTTTTGCACCTTCGAATATTGAAAGAGCTGTTGTATAGTTTATTCCAAAATTAACACTACTGAATTAAAATTTTTTCGTGTTTTTTTTTGCAATGCGAATGAAAAAAAAAATACATTTATTTATTTGTACAGTCATCGAATTCAAGTGTTTCATATTATCTTTGCTCCAGCCAAGAGAAAACAGACAAATATAACAACAACAACAGCACCAATAGTAATGGTGACAAATATTCTGATAATGACGCAATTCTTTGGCCATTTTTTAAAGTGATAAGAAAACAAAAGGGGTTTATGTCTCCGCAGTTCCGCCCGCCCTAATTAAGTCATTCATTGGAAGAATGCAATCTTATCTTTGGAAGAAAATAACAAAAACAATAAAAAAATGTAGGAAACAAATCTGAGTATTCCCAAGAAAGAGGGGGAATAATCGGAAGTTTGACCTTATCTGGAGTTTATTTGTCGAAATTAATTGGATTAAGTGAAGAAGAGTAGAATCGGCGCACAGTGATTTAGAATTGGGATTCCTGGATATTTTGGATTTTTGGTTTTCAATACAATTATTACCCCTCAACTATCGCTAGGCCAAATTGTTGGTGAAGGTGTCAGTATTTTTGTGGAATTTATCAAATATTTCAATACCAGTAATTAATTGATTAATGGGATTTTATTATTTTTTGTGTTGTGTGTTATCAACAAATTGTTCAAATTGATTTGCAATTTTTTGTTCAATGGTTTTGCAGCAGAAAATATAAAAAAACAACAACAATTATTAATGTTTTTTCGTTTTGATTAGCAACTTGAGAATGTGGGAGTCGGATGTCAACTGAAGGAACTCCCCATACGATTTTGATAAGATATGGCAATTGATGAAGTTTTTAGAAATTTTTGAATAATGAAAAAAGCTAAAAAATAGGGAGTTCTATTTTTTTATTTTATTTCTTTTTTTTTTTTAATAGGAAACGATTTATTCCTCAGCATAAAATAATATTAGAATATAAAGTATTTTTTCTAGAGAAATCTACCTCTCGAATTGAAAATTCTAATGTCTGGATAATTTGGATTCTTTGGGGCAACTTGGACCAGAGGGAAAATTTATCACAGTCTATAATAAATTCGATGAAACAGCAGATTATGAAAATAAAGCAAATAATAGAAAACACACGACGATACGTTTTGAAAGATTATATCGCAAAGTAACCAAAGTTGTGAAAGAAATTCCCCCCACCTTTTCCACATTTTTTGGAAATTTTTGGATTAAGATTCCTTGGAATGGGTGCATTTTATGTATATAGTGTCTTTGGCAATAATAAACCTAAGAATGCAAGGTTATTTTTGGTATTTGGATTATTTTAACACCCAAGCGTGTCAACAAAGGGGTCTTTTTGGTCCTTTTTTTTCCAAATAAGGCCTTAAACTCCATTTAAACGGTGCCGCAACCTGTCAAAATATTCTACGAAATTGTTTGTCATAAAATTCTACTATAGGTCCTATAACATGTTAAGAGGCTAAATCTTATCTAAACGCAAGGAATTCATATATATTACAGAGACATTTTATGGTTAAAGAGAGAATGAGGGAGTTTGTGCCAAAAAAAACTCCAACAAAACATCATTGTAGAAGGATGAAGTCAAAGACAAAAAATATTCGCCATCAAATTTTTCTACAAGTCACCAAAGAAAAGAAATCTCTATATCCATTATCTGTCAAGAAAATATTGCCGTCAATGTTGGCAAAGAATTCGAAAAAAATTCTTATTTTTTTGTCCTTTTTTCAAATTATGTTTAAAAACTCCTTATAAATGGGATCGTAGCAAGTCAAAATATTATACGAAACTACTTGTCATAAAATTCCACTATATATAGATCCTAGAAAACGTCAATAGGCTAAATCTTACCTAAACGCCTGGAATTCATATATACCAAAAAGACATTTTAGGGTTACAGCTGTACTTTGTGTCAAAAACGGCAACAAAGCATCATTTTAGAAGGATGACATCAAAGACATCAAATATTCGTCATAAAGTTTTACTATAAGTGGCAAAAAAAAGAAATCTCTATATCCATTACATATCGAGGAAATATTTGAATCGATGTCGACAAAAAAGAGAAAACAAAAATCGAAAATATTTTTTTGATCAATTTTGGTTATTTTTTCAAATGATTTTTGAAAACCTCCTTTAAATGGGATCGTAGCAAGTCAAAATATTCTATAAAATTATTTGTCATAAAATAATTAAATAAAATTTCGTTTTAGACGGAAGATGTCAAAAAAAGAAATATTCTCCACAACATTCCGCTATAAATCTCAGAAGAAACCGTATTTCTATGTGTGATAGTTTTTAAGAAAATTGCACTCAAAATTTTTGTACTAAAAGTGAAAATTATGCCTTTATTTTTTTACTGTTAATTTAACACGTATCCAATTCGAGGCGAGATCCCCTTTTATACTTCAATTTTTGGAGAAAAGGTCAAAGTACGAATTATTCTACATCAAATTTCATTCTGAGTCTCAGAACAAAATAAGTTTTTATATTTAATGTGTGCTATAAAAAATAGCATGTATTTTTGTTATTGAAAAAAGCTTGTTTATGCCTGAAAATGTACCACTTTTTCCAGAATCGCTGCAAAATTTTCTTATAATTTCACTATACAATAGCGAGATATTGTGTTGGTAGAAATATTGAGATGTGCAAATGTTGAAAATAATCAGACTCTTATTTCACTTTTTATTATTCAAAATTTTGACACTTTGGGAGGAAGGTAGTTGATGAAGTGGGCCTTTAATGTCCATATTCGCACCTAGCACTTATGCGAATATTGTGATTCGTTGTAAATTGGATGATTTTTTCTCGTTCTATGAGGTAAACTATTTTATGTGATCATTTTGACCTTTTGTGGGATAGGTACCAGAAGGAGTGGACCGAAGTGCCTATCTTCAAACTGTATTTATCTTAGCTTGATAAAAATATTACGATGCACCAATTTTGAACCAAATCGCAAACTCCCTTCGAGAGCAATTTTGCTCACCAGCCAGACAGACACAGACATACAGATGGACACCCGTAGGTCGACTCCAAATTTGGTGAAACGGATTTGGCCTAAAGAGACCTAGGGTTTAAAACTGTTATTTCGATGAGGCACACTTTGGTGGTATCAGATAAAATATACCCTCTGTAGCCATATAGCTGAGGGTATAAAAATTCTTTGTCGAAGGGATCATGTTTCCATCGAAAAAAATTTCTGAACGGTTGGTAAATATTTACTTTTGCTAATATTTCAAAAAACAACATTTTTCTTAAAAACATAACGGACTCTTACGATTGTTGGTCTTGTCCAGAACAGTAAGAAGTTTTTACTACGGTGAACGATTTTCCCTTTCTGACAATGAAAAAATGCAAAAATAGTAGATTCTTGCAGGTTCTGAAGTAAAGGTTGGCTTTGTAGCCATATTATGTCTAAAAGCTTTATGAGATGGAAATTACCTATTTAGGCCCAAATTTGGATGTAGCCCCCCATATAACGATACTACCCTATTATTGGTACATTGTAGGTTTCGATCACATTTTATACCATCCGATTTTAGGCCTATTAAAGATTTTCACCCGGGTTTTCAACAAAATTAGCTAAAATTAAGTATTTAGGTTTCCCATTTAGTGATTCAAATTTGTACAAAAAATCAAAGTCGGGTTTAGTTTTTGTAAATCGGTATTACCCGATTTTCGATATTTGTAGAGATTCTATCGATTTTAAATATTTTAAAGGTATAACATCTCTTTTACTTGCTTTTTTTATGTGATCCCAATTCAGGACTCCTAACTTAGAAAAACCTATCAAGCCCATCAAAAACCCAATTTTTCTGCCTTTCCCTTCACTCGTGTTTTATCACTTCATTCATCCGTCCATTCATTCATTGTGTGGAGTAAAAGCGAATAAACATTGTGACTTTCATAACGCCAGACAGAATGGGAGGAAAGGGGGGACAGCGAAAAAATGTAAACTCAAAACTATTATTTACATTAACAACTTTATGGTGACACATTACAAGCAAACAAAAGCTGGCTGCAATCGCCGTCGACAGGCCGACTGACGCACACACACACTTACAAATAAAAGGGAATTTATATAACATAATAATAGTAACAATAACAAAACTAATAATACTGCAACATTTTTTAGCTAATAATGAGACGTTAGTTGGTTGTTTGCGGATCGTTGTTTTTTTTTTTTACTTTTTTTGAGGGGGAATCTGTTGTCTTGCTCCGCCGTTGAAAGGGGGCTTTGATTACACATTTGAAATCAGATATTTGAAAGAAATGCCCTGGCGCTGCATTTTTCGCCACCTAGGTTGTAGCTGTTTGTTTGGCTGTGGAATGTTGATCTCATTTTACAACAGGAAGAAAAACATTTTCTGTTTACAAAAAAAAAAAAAAAAAAAAAATAAATAAATAAACAACAACAAAAAGCAACAGCAGACAATAAGCTTGTTAATTTTTTTTTTCGCTACAATAAGCTAAGCGGGTTACTTTTTAACAGACTTTAACGTGGTTGTAGTTAGGCAATGATGATGACGATGATATCTGTTATTTGGGCTGCTGCACTTCCTCCCTACCCCACATCTCTACTCCTACCCTATCCCCCTTTTCTTGCCATTTCCATTCAACATCTTCAATTTCAGTTCATGTTCCTCCAACCCAAAAACAGGTTAAACGG